CCTCCGCCCCCAGGAGCTTACAATTTAATGGGGGAAGACAACATACCAAAAATATATATACAAAGCAAGCCACATACAGGATGAATGGGAAGTAGTTAATAGAAGGAAGGTGCCAAAATTGAGTAGTTAGGTGGCACAATGGATGGAGCTTCAGGCCTGGAGTCAGGAAGACCTGAGTTCAAATCCAGCCTCAGACACTTACTAGCTGTGTGACCCTGGGCAAGTCACTTGATCCTTTTTGACTCAGTTTCCTCGTGTGTAAAATGAACTAGAGATAGAACTGGCAAGCCACTCTAGTATCTCTACCAAGAAAACCCCAGATGGGGTCATGAAGAGTTGGATATGACTGAAATGACTGAACAACAACAAGAGGAAGACTTCCTGTAAAAGATGGGATTTAAAGGAAGCCAGGGAGGTAAGTAGGGTGGAGTGGAAGAGTGTTCAAGGCATGGGGGACAGTCAGAGAGGATGCCCAGAACCAAGAGATAAGAGTGGGACGGCCAGGAGGGCACTGGCACGAGGTTGAAGAGTACATGTTGGGGAGTAAGGTGTAAGAAGATTGGGAAGATAGGAAGGAACTAGAATACAGGACTGTGAATGCCGGAAGATCCTGGAAGCAATAAGGAAGATTTGTTGCTGCCCCTCCTCTCTCCCCCTTGCCCCACCCTGTTCAGGTTTTTCCGCTGGAATACTCCTCCTCTTAAACCTCCTTCTCTCTTCTCCCTCTCTGGTTTTTTATTTCTCTGTTGAGTTTACTATATTTGTTCGCTCTGCGTGTGTGTGTGTGTGTGTGTGTGTTGGGGGATAGGGGGCTGTAATCTGCTTTCCTTCCTCTGGTTCAGGTGAGAGTGAGCAGTGCTTGGGATACCTGCCTTTCTCCAAGGTTTTCCTCATCCCCCCCATATACTTCTATTTGAGAGAGTAAGTTCCCTTCCCTGTTGAGTCCCCTAACTTTCCTTTTTCTTAAGACTAACAAAACATAAAAAAGTCACCCCCAGGCCCTGTGCCCATCTTGTTTAGCTTTATCTGTCATCCTTACAGATATTAGAGCTCTGAGAGGATACTTATTACTTCTCCATTAGTATTGAATCAGTTTGTCTAGTCTTGCCCATTTGATCAAATGATCTAACCTTTCTGTTTCACTTGTCTCCTCTAATTTTCATTTCAAAAACCTCGACTCATTTCTGACCTATTCATCAACAGTGCTTGGAAAGCCTTTATTTCATTAAAGATGCATTTTCCCCCCTGTAGGATTACACTCAGTTTTGGTTGTAAGTTCTTCTTTTTTCTTTTTGGAATATCATATTCCAGGTTCTTCTCATATTTGTGGCAGCCATCTGCCAAGTTTTGTGTGATTCTAACTGTAGCTTCTTGGTACTTGATTGAACTCTTTCATTTTGATTTTTTGCAACAGCTTTTCTTTAACCTGAAATCTCTTTATTTTCTCTGACATTCCCAGGAGTTTTTGTTTTGGGATTTCTTTCAGGGGTGACTGGTGAATTCTTGTTATTTTCCCGTTAGCCTCTGGCTCTAACTTCTTGAAATATGGTATCGGAGGCTTTTTTGGGGGGGTAATTTTCTGACAGTCCAGCGATTCTTAGATGATGGCTCCCTGACCTGTTTTCCCAAGAGTTGTTGTTCACAGACGCCTTATAAAACTGAGCACTGTTTTTCCCAAGGTGCTAGTTCTTCTTGCTCTTGGTTCTTCCGTCTTTCACTGTGTGTCTCTTGTCTTCATTTCTTGCAGCTCCTCTTTTCATCTTTGTGTCTGAGACATGCTTTTCCTTCCATCTCTGCATGGACTTGTATATTTATTCTCTTCCTCTCATTCCAAGGCATTTCTTGATTGTGTTTCACAGTTTTGTTTTGTTTTGTTTTTTTAATTCATAATTTAGCCTCACTTTCTGGATTAGGGGTTTGTGCTTGAATCGAGCTCTGCTCCCACAGGTTTGCCTGCTGGATCCGGAGGTTGGTGGCTGTGTCTGAGCCTTTTCTTTGGAAGGAATTGTCTGGCCTTGTGTCCTGCCGAGATTCAGGCCCAGGCTCCCTGGAGCCATTGCTGCAGATGGGGGAGGAGGCCTCTGGGCAGCCTCCACCACACTGGGTACTGGTCTGGCCCTGGCCCCTGCTATGAAATGGGGCTGGTTTGCCCTTTGCCTTCCTGCTCCCTTAGCCTGTCTGCATTCCACAGGGTTCTGGCAGTCCGTGCAGCCTTCAATCGATGGAGGTGTTTATGGTTGAATCTTTTGGGTTGACTTTATGATAGTTCCTGCTGGTGCCCTTTAGAGTTGGGGTGTTTGTTAGGGAATTGGGTCCCCATGTGCTACCACCTTCCCATAGCCCAGTAATAAGTAATAGGTAATTACATAGGTAATCTTGCCCAGTGACCCTGACAGTAATACTATGTTACCTCACTGTTATCTATTTTAGATTATAAGCTCTGAGTATGGTAGTCTACTTAACTCCTTCATTTCTGTCAAGAATACCAAACCGCTACATCTCATTTTGATTTGGGAAATTAAAAAAAAAATATCCCCCATATAAATACCTAATGGACAGAACATGCTAGGTAGTAATTTACATAACCAAGACCTGTGCTTCTAGTGGCCCGTCATGTCAGTGTGACCCCTTAATTGGAAACGCTAACAGACTCTTGGGCCGCTTGGCAAGTGAAGTTGAGGAGGTAATTGCCTCCCTGGACTGCCTCGGGCAATGCCATCTCCATAACTCCTACTTAGGAAAGCTGTGGACAAATTGTCGTCCTCAGGGATTGACAGGCTGGTGCATCCCAGAGGAGTGGATCAGGATGGTGAGCAGTTCAGTATCAAGCCCCTCTAGACTCAGGCAGGAAAAAACTGGAGGTAGAGAGAAGACTTGGATGGCAGGGAGGGGGTGGAGAAGATAGAAATTGAACCTTCTTTGTGTGGTCTCAGAGAAACCAGTGGGTAGAAACTGGAGAAAAGCAGGTTTTGTCTCCATCCCAGGAAAAACCTCCTAACAGTTAGAGCCATCTATTAAAAGAGTGAGATGTGGTGAGCTTCCCATCCCTGGAGGTAATCAGATGAAGTCTGCAAATGCCCATTTCTCAGGCATGTTGGACCCTGCCATTCCCACCCTCTTCCCCTTGTGTCTGAGGGCAAGCATTTGTTGGTTCTTGGTTACTGTAGAGTGTGGTGACCTCCAAAGAGTTGAAGTGACCCAAAGACTGGTCAGAACCAGCCTTCTCTGTCCCATGCCCTGGCAGAGAGAGTGGAAGGAATCAGTTCAAAGCATGACCTGATTTCTTTGTAGAGGAAAGAAAGCCCACTCCCCAGCTGTATGGAGGGTTCTCCGACCAGTTTTTCAGAGGTAACAGTTGTCCCTGTGATCAGTCATTCTTACATTGTTTTCTGTGTCACCTTCTGCGGCTCGGCTATGTCCTACAGACTGTGTGTCTTACATCTTTTCTAGTCCTTTGCTCCCTTTCCCAGTGTTTATATGTGTCCACATATATAATTCTGATATTTGCAAAGGGCACTCTTAAGCTCTTCAAATAGAAACTGAATGTTTTCACACTTGGAAAAATACCAGAATAAATCATTTTAAAAGTCTCATCGCAACACCTAAAAATCAGACGGAATAGTAGACAATGAGCAGCTTGAATTTTTAAAGAGTAATTCCTGTCAGACTAATCTAATTTTCTATGAAAAAGTGATAGCCCTGCTATACAAGGAGGAGATGATATATATTGTCGTCTAATGTGGTTTTAGCAGGCTTTTGATCCATATGATTTCCTCTCACACTCTCCTTCCATAAAATGAATGGCTAATGATTTACCAAAATGCCTTTGTGAGCAAATGCATCTACTACAAATGCCCCTAAGAATAGTTTGGGGGAATTTCACAAGTCAGCACCATTACAAAAAGGCTCGTCAGCATTATGTACAATATACAATATGTCTGGGAGTCTTTGCTCGCTAAAAACATAATTCATCCTTTAAACGGGCTAAGCAAATTCTCCCTCACCATTCTATCCTTTTTTTTTTTCTTTAAAGAATGTTGCTTAATTTCATATTAGCTGTGCACCGTCTTTGCTTTGAAACTTTTCAAATAACTAGTTTGGTCTTGCTGAGGAAGGAAACCCAATTAGATATATCTGAATTTTCCAAAAATGTTTTGTTTTCATTTTGCTTCTCCAGAAAGGATCACAAAGCCAGGCTGGGGCAAAATCTCACACCTGCCTGAGTTTTCCTTTTAGGGGCTCTTTCAGAGCAGAAGTGTTTCATCTCCAGGGGATTCTGGTGACTACAGGCCCGTCAGGGATTAAAACAAGAATTCCCTCAAGTCCAGAGCTGATTGTTGGGTGCTCCCTTCTGCTATTTTAATCCACTGTGAGAGCTGAGCTCTTACAAGTTTCAGAGGTCCCCTTGTCCAGACAAACTGACCTGAGCTCTTGATCCTTGTTGCAATGAGCTGGCTGTGATGGGAACTGATGGATACAGTCATTCAGAAAGTGGTTTGGGGCTGACCTTCTCTGGCATAGAAAATTGGGCCCTTGCTAGGACTCCGCCCCATTCCCACCAAGGGCTTTCTAACAGTCACTCCTAAGGGGAGTTCCTCCCAAGGGGAATTCTCGTGAGGAGCACGTGTCACATTTGAGTCTCATCTGCTGGGTTGATGACTTGGAGATAACTCAGGGACTTGGACCAAGCCAGTGAAAACATTTTGTATGGCACAAAGTGTCTTGACGGCTTTGTGAATGGAGGAGGCCTTCTCCAGCAGGCCTGCTGGGCTGATGGTCCATCCTCTGCCCACACTAGACCCAGGCGGGGTGGGGGAGGAGAGAGAGAACTCCCTAGTTCACAAAATCACTCATTCCGTCTTTGGGATACTCTGTAATTCACGCAAAATCACAAAATCTTGTGAATAATTTGGTAGGGCTTTTCTTTTTTTAATGTTCCAATGTGCAATTAATAATAAATCTTCATGCATATTGACCCTTCTTTCTCTTCCATCCTCCAGTTAAAGCATTTTTGAGCTGGAAAGAAGGCTCCTGGTCCCCAGCCCCTACAATGTGACTCTTCAGGCTACTTACTGTTTCCCAAGTGGACACCTGCTCTGGTTCGAGGTAGTCACAGAAAGCAATTAAAAGGTAAGAAAATTGGCTTTTACCGGCTGTTTCAGTGCCGCCTGAGCCGGCCTTCCCTCCCAAGGGACTGGCAGCATCAACTCTGCTAGATGGAATTCCTCTCCAGAAAGATTCTTCCTTGTGTTATGGAATAGAAAGGAAAACTAGGTTCATAAAATGAGTTAGAATGTGTCAACAGAGTAGAGAGAATGATGACCTCCTGCTGCTATTTAAATTCTGCAGCAAAGCAGGAGTGCTTATTTTCAGAAGAGATGACATGGAAACCATGGCACCTTTGTTCTCTTATGACTTTATTATCCCAAAAGGGTAGATTGAATAAGACATTTGTTGATGTTGGTTCAGAAAAGTGACAGGTGTGCAAACTACCTTTTCTGACCCTCTGCACTTTTGCCTGGTGGCATAGACCTTGAGTCCATCTTTCTTCCAATTATCTTCTAGACAAGGGAAGGCAGCCAGGGATGCTCGCCATTAGGGGTGGGTTTTCTGGGTCTTGTGGTCATTATTTCAAAACCTGGAGTCAGCAGGGATCATACAGTCATCACAGTTGCCTGTATCTGTATTTTAAAGTTGGGGAAACTGAGGGAAGTGATTTTCCAAGGTTATGCAGCTAAGTTGTTGAGCTAGAATACGAATCCAGGCCTCGTGGCTCCAAGGTCAGGGCACCTTCCAGTAAACCGGAAGGATCATTGTGTTGTCTCCAAGCAGATTAGGCAATCGTGGTCCTAGTCTCTTCTCCCTGCCCTAGTCCTCCTCTGTGCACAGACCTTGAGAAACAGTGGAAGTTAGCATAAAGGGTTAGCCATGAAGCCGTCTTGGCAGCATGCCTTCTTGTGAGGAAAGTGATCGTCCCCTTTCTTTCTCCTTGCCTTCCCTCTATTGTTTCATGTTGCAGTCAGTCTCTCTCTCTCTCTCTCACCCCCTAACTCAGTCATTAGAGATGTGACTCCTGTAGGACTTGTATTTTTCTACATTAATTGAGTTTTGTTTGGGTTTAAAGAATGAGTTTGTGTCAAATTTGGGTTTTAGAAAAGTTTAATACATTTAGCCAAGAAAAAGCTTTATGTGATATATTTTATCCATACTCTATTGTCTCTTAGGGAATAGACTTTAAAAAGCAGCAAAATGTCAGTTGAATACTAGGCTCATTTAATGATGTTAGGATTAATTCTTCAAATCTAGAAATCAGGGAGTGACATTGGCAACAGACTTTTGAAAGCAGCTTAAAGCCAAATATCTAGTTTACTTACTGAAGGATGGCAACTTTGGGCTTCCTGGTTAGAAATGAGAACTGGTGCCTCATCTTTCCAGAATCTGGTCTTTTATTCTGACCTGAAAGTAATTCTCATCCATATCTTCCCTTAGAAGAATGTGTTGATGTGTTTAAACTTTCTCATGGAGTATTTTGCACCGAGACTGCCTCAGTGTCTCAGGAGAGCTGCTAGGGTTTCTGGGGTTTTCTTTGCCATGTGCTCATGAGGTCGCCTGCGTGAAGGCGAGTAGATCACTTGTGTGCGGTTTCTTTGCCACGCTGTTAATGACACTCACCAGAGCCTGGAACGATGGAATCATTGGGATGTGAGCTGCCAGTGAAGAAGGTGTACACCTCACAACTGACTTTACAAGGCCTTTCTTTTTTCAGTCCTTTGACCAAAACGAAAGTCCGGCCACACAGGACATTTTCCTTGTTAAGCCAAGAGGGCTGTAGGCCAAAGGCAAAGGCAGAACCTTTGTCCACTAGGTTATGGCAAGGAAGACTGGACTTTCTCTTCTTCTTGTGAAGCAAGTATGCCTCATTGTTTCTGCTGACGCATGCGGCAAATCTCAGTAGGAGCTCAAACTGTCAGATCACTGCTGCATTGCCTGCGCCCTAAATAAACTCAGTGTTCAGCTCTGGGACTGAAATCCTTTGAGATGGCTGTTCACACCTTGATAATTTTGTACATCAGTTCTTTATGACTGATCTGGTGATCAGAATACACAGGGCACATTTCCTCCCTTTGCCATCTTTACCATCATCCTCTGATGTACGTGTCTATTCCAAAACACATCTGAAAATGTTACAGATTTCACTCAAGACCTTCTCTGACGCCTTCTAGTGGTATAGAAATGACCCAAGGTTCTTCAAGGCCTTGAATCACAGTACATGGTATTACAGGGTCCCCTAGGCTCAGTTGTCTTCAAGGATCAACCTAGCAATGGGCTGTTCTCTAAGAGAAGAGAAGGTCAGAGGAGCTCATTATTAGCTCGATTACAGAATTATGAGTCTTTTTGTCCATAGCAATTTTGAAAAACCATATACTGACTCACAGAAAGGTTATTAATGATCACCGTTGGTGAAGGAGTGCTCCCCCCACCCCAGTGAAATAACTGTCCTTAACATATTGGTAAGTGGAGCCCAGGCATCACAGGCTTTAGGGTTGGAAGGAAGAGAATTGGGTTCAGATTTGGAAGAGTCTGTAGAGACCCTCTATCTAATCCCTTCCATTCGCAGATGAGGAAACTGAGGCCCTGAGTGATGAATAAATGGCCCGTGGTCACAGAGGTGGCAAGTAGGAAAGCAGGGAGCTTCCTAGGCTCCGGCCCCTGACTTCATGGTCAGGCAGGGGTCATTCCGTGGCATCCCACTGCTTCTTAGCAGTGTAGTCTGTAGTCTGGTGTGGTCAAAATGTAAAAAAAACCTTAGAAAACATTTTAAGTATTCAGAATATTTTGGGTCCACAGTATTTCATCATCTTGCATATCATGAAGTTTCGGAGTTTAATAAAAATAGACTCTGCCACGAAGATCTCTCTTTTGAGTGCTTCATTCTCCTGCTAAGGAAGGTCTGTGCAGTAACGCTGAAAAGGCTCCACCTCCTCCTCCTTGTGTCCTCCACAAGGACAAAATGTGTTTCAAAATTGAATTCTCCCTCCTCGGTCCTCCTCCACATCCCCACAATTCATCTCAGAGGACTGTGACTAGTAAGCCATGCTTTACTAATAAATGAGGCCTGATAAATGGCCCTGTCTCCTGATTTTTTTACAGTTCATTGTTTCCCATTCTTGCATAATGGCATGGCTTTAAATGGTAACTCCATCTCTGGAATTTGTCTACAACAAATGGATTTGTCATTAAATGATGGCAAAGATGCAAATAAAAACTTAGTTTGCTATTTAAATTCAGGATTACATTAAGCCTCCTCTTTAGACTTCTGTGTCCAGGTTATCTCTATTCAGCAGAATGAGCAGACAAATGAATCTCAGACAGGAGTCTTATCAAAATTCAATTCAATTTTGGACTTGTGGCGATGTGTCTGGGAACTTCCAGGTTGATGATCATGATCCTTCCATGGCTGCTGGCTGTTCTTTGCTTTTTTTTTTTTTTAAACAATAATTTATTGATAACTTGTTTTTGTTTTTTGTTTTTGTTTTTTTTTAAGCTAGGCAATGGGGTTAAGTGACTTGCCATGGGTCACACAGCTAGTAATTGTTATGTGTCTGAGATCAGATTTGAACTCAGGTCCTCCTGAATCCAGGGCTGGTACTGTATCCATTGCACCACCTAGCTGCCTCCCCCCCTTTTTTTTTAACTTTTAGGCAATTGGGGTTAAGTGACTTGCCCAGGATCACACAGCTAGTAAGGGTCGAGTGTTTGGTCTGAGGCCGGATTTGAACTCAGGTCCTCCTGACTTCAGGGCCTGTGCTCTATCCACTGTGCCACCTAGCTGCCCCTTTGATAATTTGTTTTTACAAAATCTTCATTTCCTGTGCCATCCTTCTCCCTTTTTCCTGTTCATTGCTTTGTATGCTATAGTTTTGCCTCTAAAGTGCCCTGATTTTTTGCCTTTTGCCTGTCCTCTCTCAGATACTATAGGGAAAAGAACGGTGGTCTTTTAGGCAGAAGACCTGGGGCCAGGCAAGCGTGGACACAGCAGGTTTTGTTTATTCTCTCTGCTTTCACTGCAGATTTTGCCCTGCCTGAGTTCCATCTGCAGCCTGAGAAACGCCCTCCATTCAGAAGTCTGCTCACACTCACTGTGCATGCGGTAATTAGGTGCTGCTGGTCCTTCGCCGTGGATTGGATAATTAGATTTAGTACAGGCTGCAAAGATACAGGAAGGCAATGGGAAACAGAGGATAGAGAGCTAGACTTTTAACTGGAAAGATCTGGGTTCAAATCCGTCCTCCAACACTAGCTCTGTTACCCTGGACAATTAAATTTCCTCATTTGCAAAATGGGAATAATCATATCACTAGCTTCACAGGGTTGTTGTGAGGATCAAGACATAAAGTGTCATAGGTACTTTAATCTTAAGGAGTTGTATGCATATCAGTTATTATTAGTATTAATTTAAGTGCATATTTTACAGGGCACCACAAAATCCTGTCCCAGTGTCTCATTGGGGTGTGGAGATGACCCTGATTTCTCAAAGACTGATCACAGAGTGCAAGTCATGGCAAAGTCTCCCATACTAGGACGGCTTCAAGCACCACATTGGCCACAGCCTAAGGGGTTATTTCAGGGAGTCTGAAGAGGCCCTTTCGTCTTAGGCTAGCCACTTGGGGATGGATTCTTTGTTGAGGACAACCGATGAAATATATGCACACACACACAGACATACACACACACACACGCACGCACCACACACATATATACACACACACACTTCTACCACTGTTTTTCCACCTTCCATTAACATGATGCTGGTGTCCAGGTGGCAGAACAAAGGGCAGAGGGGGCTAAGAATCCTATAGCTTTGGGACCTTTTCTAAACTGACTTAACTCTTGATACTCTGAGCATGAGATGTGTGACCAGTATCTGCTGCAGGAACTGATTTGTGGCAGTCTTGACATTTTTCACTAGAAATGAAACCATAAGCAAGAAGGAAGCTGTAGCCGTATGGAAGGATGGCTCACAGGTTGTCCAGGGGGTAGAAAGGAAAGTTGGCAGAGCTGGTTCTTTCATGTGTCCTGGAGGCATCAAAATAACCTCATTTCATGGGGCATGTGGTCATCTCCTATTC